AAAAAAAAAAAAAAAAAAAAAAAAAAGAGACGAGACACGGTGCACTTCGTATAAAACCACGGAGAGCTGCACTAGTGCTTCTAACCGGATGTGAAACTAAGACCACGGACAACCCTGGCCCTTCGGAGTCACGTTTTGAAGTTCTTGGAGTCAGACAGAGCCGACGCTCGTAACAGAAACATTTTGATGGTGGCTATAATAATTAATCGATTTCAGGTTCGAGCCACCAAACCCGCCGAATCGACCCCCATTTCCATTCGATGATTCGATTGCGCATAATGGGTCTGCTAAACGATTATACCTCAGGAAATTCCCATTGAGGAAAGCCAATGGACAATGAAAGAGTAAGAGAGAGAGAGAGAGAGAGAGAGAGAGAGAGAGAGAGAGGGGTCCACTTGACGATCCATACTACGACAAAGGTAATCACAGTAATATCCAGCCTCCTGTCTCTACAGAAGGAATGGAGTATGAAGTAATTTATTTTTTTTGTTTATTTTCAGAAAACGGCGCTGTTAAGTTGTCGAACGAGGGAGACAATATTACCTTGAGATATTGGCAGTATCGCGGTATAAAGTTCGACATATGAAAGATCGTCAAGTCGGATGGTAGAAGGGTGACCTGAGAGAAATAAACAGGTGAGTTATGGCGCCGAGGTCATGGGACGTTCGCTCCGAGATCCAAGGCTTCTTCACGGGAGAGATGCAAAGGACGCCATGGCCAAGGATCTATAGTGGGGTTGGAAAATACGTGGAAAACTCTCGGGTTCAGCAGCACGCCTGGAGGGTGTGCGTTGGTACGTCATGCGCAGGCGTCCCCAGTGCCGCGAGTCGGTACCTCAGTTCTCCGCGATACACCGTGCGAAACGCGCGCCGTTTTCCTCTATTCGCAAGGATCAATTGACAAAGCCAATCTATTTTCATTTTAGCCGTTTGATCGATCCTCTCACGAGTATCCCTTATACGGCCCCAGCATCCCCTTGGCCGGAGTCCTCGAAGTCCACCCTGGAAGCGACGTACCGATCGGAGAAGGACGACCAGAGAAACCCTCCACTACCCCACCTCTGTCATCCCCTCGCGGTGCCTCAGTTACGCTACCCCTATCGCGCGTGTGTATCGCCAGTAAGAACTCCTTACCCTGAGCACCAGGAGGATTTACGACTCTTTACACTTTTTTCGAATCGCCCCAATCTTGCCTGCCTTTGGGCTGCTTTCTTTCTTTCTTTCTTTTTTTTTCCATTTTTTTATCTTCCCACCTCTCCCGTTGAACTATCCCTCGTGCGTTTTTTTTTTACTCGTGATTCATCTCGAGAGCGATTCGGTGCTCCTTGAAGATCGTCGAGAATCAAGATTCAGCCCTTGGAGCATGTGATTCGAGGAAATTCAGGATGGATCCTTGATGGGGGAGGGGTAAGTTTTTATGTACCTTATCATTCTGTAATTTTTATACACTCGTATTTAGATTCACGAATCGTCGTATTCTGCGCTTTCAGGCTTTTATTGCTTTCATGAATAGCCTGGGACGATTGCTCGAGAGACTCTTTCATACGGATCTTCGATACGAGCGTAGTTTCTGCGTAGTCGAATGGTTATTGCACGTTTGATGCTCTCATAAAGTATTTGTGCAATTGTCAGGAGGCTAGCAGCGTGGCTCTATTGAAATTCGTTTTCCTTGGGAGAATTCTTAGGGTATTTTCTTTTTCTTACTTTTCAATGATTTCTATGGTGTAATGTCAAACGTGAAACATAAAAAAGTACTCTGACCACGGAACTATACGATTCCGCAGATTGATATTGATCGCCGATGCTCTTAATTTTACGTCACGCACGGTATGTATTTCGGGGTATATAATATATATATATATATATATACACACACGTATACGTATATACAGTGAAAGTTTTACGCTGACCGGTATCGCCACATACCAGCTATATTAAACCGCAAGTATCGAAGCACGTTTCATCAGTAGTTTACCTACGTGTATGCTAGTTAAACGTCGAGGTATTCACGGAGAAACTAGCTGATATCGGAGGTAAGGTCGCCGCTACGAGTTTCCATAATACAGAGAATAGTTTGAGCAAACTAAAGACTTACGATATGACGTAGTAGATTTTTAATTGAATTTTTCCTTTATTTTAGACTATAATGGCGAATTCCGAAAGAAGCGGCGGAGTGCGGAAATTAGTAAATTACAGGAAGCTCGTGTAAAAGTGACTACAGGGAGAATAGGGAGTACACAATGGAGTAACGAACAGTGCATAAGGGACGTAGGATTAAAGGGTTTAGAATTTACCCGGAGCCGAGCAGGTTCGTCGACGTTATTCATTTATCACGATATTTAACGTTTTACGTATCAACCCTTCTCACTTCTCAGTGGGAATTCTCGCAGCCCATTTACATGAGGATGCGTGCGTCGAGTGTCGCAGCGGATCTCATTGACGAAGGACGGCAGAAGGGAGCGGAGAAGGAAAGGATCAAGGAGTAAGAAAGGACAAGAAGAGAAGGAGGGATGGAGGGATGGAGGGAGAGGCAAAGAATGGCTGCCAAGCGACGAAAGGGAAAATTGTAGGAATTCTTGTAGGAAAGAAATGTGAGAGCAGAGACATCGGCGTAGAGCCCGCGAGGGGTCGCGGAGACGCAACAGGCCCCTTATAACATCACCCTCGACTCTAGGGGCGGTCTCGGGAAGTGAGTAGCTCGATGTAGCCACTGGTAGACAAGCTTCGGGATTTAGGTGGAGGAGGGTGTGGAGGTGGCTGCGGAGGAGGGAAGTTTGCTAAGGTTTAGTAAAACTGGCGAAACGTCTTCCTCTCTCTCCTAGTTGTTAAGATTCCTGATAAAACTGTCCCCTGATCTTCTCGAGCACGTACGTATAGGAAACGCAGATGTTCCTGGTAGATATGCGCGAATCCGAGTGTGCCGTGGATGCTTAAGAAGTTCGGAGAAACTGGGGGATGTAAATTGACAAGTTGCCAAGAAGCAACCCTTTCGCTGTTCATTGGATACATCCTAGAATTTATCTTTGCTTTTATAAGAAGAAAAAAGATATTGTTATGATTTTATCGTTTTATTTGTCTCATCGATACGAATAATTTATGGGCTACTCATTTTATTTTTGTCATACGTTTAGAAAGCTTTATAACGTATGGTTACTGTTCTCTTGGATCTATACTGCCTTCGCGCTAACAGGTCTTCTATAGAAGATCCACTAGGAAGAGCCAGACGTACCAGAAGCGACCTACGGCTTCCAACGTTCTATGTAAATTCAGGCACAGCTTTATGGGCTGAAACGACAAGCACGAACTTACGGGCAAAGCCTTACGCGCAAAAGGGTCCTATCTGGCGGCACGTCGAGTAGTCTCTTATCCAATGTAGAGAAAGGGAGACTCGTTCCCTTGCTACTCTCGAAAATTCATAGAAGCGCATTAGGCAGTCTCGCTATTTCACGTTTTAACGCCTTCAGCCCTCGCGGCTGGCACAAATTGCACATTAGCTGATGAACTTCTGTGCAGAGTCTAGGAGGCGACTGCTGCGCCACATGCAAGCAACTTTCAGTATCAATGTTAGGAAACCAGTTGTAGCTTATGTCTACATATGCGGTCTGGTGACCTTAAGGTGCATCCACATGCTATATCCAGCACGTAAATGCATAGAGACTTCCATCACAGACGGCGGTATTGAAGCGTGCAGAGTCCTTGCGTCGTCGTGTAGCTCAGGTTAGCAAGGTCAAAATATAAGTAATCTGTAACAAAAAGATTGTTGAGAAAGGGGAGAAAGGGTGTATGTGAAAAGAAACAATGTCATCCTAAATCATGTCGTTGCAGGTTATTTTTTGGATTTTTATATGATGTCGACAAAAAAAAAGGTAGAGCCTGACTACGGTTTACAATGGTCGAAAGAAAGTCAAACAGTCGAGGGACAACACGAAGAGGGGATAGTGCAGCTGTTATGGCGAAAAAGTTGCGGTAACGTTGGAACGACGTTGTTATACTTTACGATTTAATTCCAAAAGATGGTACGAGAGGTATTACTCGAAATTGTTTTTTTTTTTCTTTTTTTCTTTTCTTTATATTTCGGAAATCCCATTGTGTCTGATGTCATTTTTTTTTTTCTATTTTTCAAGAGACCATCTTCTTTCTGTACAGATAAGTCACTGAGAATTAGTCAGCTACTGATATGCTCAACAAAGAACAGAGAGACTGTAGCCATTACAGAGTGAAGCAGAAAGAGAGAGCAGTAGAAAGTAACTGAAGAAAATGGAAGACACCTGATAGAACGCAAAGTCAATCATTTTGATCAACGTAACATCGGATGCTGCGGTGAATTCTTTTGTTACATCCGTCTGGAATGTCTCAGCTTGGTTTGAGGGGTGCCAAGTCGAAGGTCAAAGTGTGCTCTGTTATTCAATTTTTTTCTATCACTGAAAATCCACTAACGTAAACCGGCAAGTCCTTTTAGCCTTTTAGTCTGATACGGCAAAGGTTCTTCTGCTCGAGTTGGCAGGTCGCTCGTTTTTCTGGTTTAGTGGAATCGAGGTCGATAAGGTTAATAAATGAATCCGATAGAAAAATGCACTGCGATATTAAATAAATTCATCCGGAAGTTATCGGTAGACTGATTCAAGCATACATAACGCTTAATGGTTAATTAGAGCAATGTAAATTCGTATTAATGTTTTCAAATAATGCGTTTTAAATTATTCATGAATTTTATTTTAAAATCTCATAGAGTCTTTACATTTTGATAATTTCACAATGACAAATTTCTCGTGTCCCGAGGGATAAAAATAATTTGATATCTTCCCGGGCATTTTTCTATGCACGCGCACCTCTATATGGGCTCTCATGAGAAATTTATACGTTATTGGCACAGCATCCGGATGCGATCTGGTTATGATAGATATCCTATTTATAGGGGTGTAAGATAGAGGGCCTACCATTTTATGGGCAGTTTGCATCGCGGCCGAAGTATCGTAGTCGCACGTAAGGTCGTAAAGGGCTAATGAAAAGCTATAAACAAACATTTTGCGAATCGATCTTTGTGTACACAGCATCCTCACATTGGTCCAGTCGAAAGAGGGATTCTTACGCAGCATGAAATATTTTCGATATTTTTTTTCTCCCGTAATTGGATGGATATCTACCTCTGACATACTTGATTACCGAAGTTTATTATCGACACGTCACCATTATCTTAATATGTCTGACCGATGATCTAACGGTTTATTCAGATCAAAGTGAGTGACCAATGGATAGGATGCTTTGGGTCAGATTTATAAGGTCGCCAGCCTAATGCTATCTGTCCACGGTCCCTGTATACTGTTTTTGGTGTTTAAGGCCCATAAGAAATTATATATGTATACTGACCCAGAAGTGTATTCTCTTATATTGTTATAAGTAATTCTGTTACGTCAGACCTGAGTAATATATTAGCTAACTTTATTCATCTGTATTAATTAATTTGGCTGCTTCAGCTGCCAGCTGTAATTTGCTGTATTTTCTATTTAGTACTCTTGAAACTTATCGACGAATATTCCCTACGTTTATTCTTCTTCTGTCTAGAAAAAAAATACGAAAAAATAAAAGAAAATAGGAAAATCCTGATAGAAACTTCTGCGCGTGTAATGGAGTATCGGCGTGCGTTTATCAAATGGACCGTAATTTTATAGCCCTAAATTTATTGGCGAATTATTTGCGCGGATTAACAATTAGATTAGGTATCTTAAAGCATTACATAAATAACAATACGTTTTGAGAGTTTTCTATAAAAAATCTTTCTATTGATCTTATTGAAACGAATAATAGGTTTTTAGCTATAGAATCAATTTTATCGTTGATTCAGCAGCGAGGACCTAACCCTATTTGACTATTGTTCCAAGGAAATACATAATTAATCTATAGTCGTGTAAAAGAAACTTCACGAATGCTTAACTGGTAGATATAATTTTGAAAGTAATTGAGAAACTGTTAATTTATGAAAAAAAGGGAAATAATGGATACACATCAATCTCTTTGATGTACGCGGTATTCAACCTATTGTATTGCTGGTTTGTATAGGCGGCAGCTACTTGGATGTTATTCAGCTGCGAGCTGTAATTATTTTTCCACCTTTAAGTTGAAAGCAGTCAAGAACGAGACTTGAGGCGAACTTGGGCTTCATTCGCGCAAGGGTTAAGAATATTAGGCTGCGAACTTTTTTGCTTTAGAAATTAATCGCTCTCTAACTTTACCTCCCGTCTCGCAGTTGGCTGTGCGTTTTGAGGAACGAACGATACAGTCTTATGGGAAACCGACAGTCTCCCTAAATAGACACAGAAATATACCAAGTGCTACTGGTTGATTCAAAAGAAATTTTCACTAGCCGATACAAGAGACTCCTTAAGATCTCCCGAAAAAACGATTACATTATTAGACAAAGATGAAATCCACTTAATTTAATTTTCTTTCGTATGAATATTTTATACAGTCGTGACCTCAGAGTCGTTCTAACCTAACCTAATTAGTCGTTAGTCAAGGACAATACGAATATACATAAAAAAGCAGCTTACTATTTACCATCTCCATATCAATCATCAAAATTGACCTCAATGTATATGTTTGTCGACGCCGCTATACACAATACAGTAGCAACGGGCCAATAACATGTTTGGATTTTACCAAGTTTCATGCCGTTAAGGTAAAAGTAGCAATTTGTCCTAACGATCTTCAAAAATAAATCTCGTTTCGCCTTTTCTTCCAGTTAATGTCATGCGAATCTCAATGTTCTGCCAATTATTGTCGCAACGCCCACTTACACCAGTATACCTGCTGTCTTGGCAAAGTCAATTTCCATAAGAAATTTCACTGCTACGCTCAGGGCCGAACGTCGATAGGGGTCAAGTTCACGATTGCCGGTACCAGCATGTAATATGCCTGTATATATATCTACCCTCACGTTTTAAGGAATATTTATTGATCGTCATGTACCTGCACGACACTGTCGAAATGTTATATGTATACGTGACGAGAGTGAATCTCAAGTATTACGTGACTCTTTATACTTGTCGTGATAAGGTGATAGTGCAGCCACTAGCTACTGCTGGGCACTTGAGAGTTCCCGGAAGTTATTTGCAATTCGTGATTGTCAGTAGAAGGTTAAGGGTTCGATTCTAGGCTGAAGATCGATGTCGTGAAAGTATCGGAAACTGCTGAAGTATTATAGTAGGCCAGCGGAACGGTGAAATACTAGTGGCAGAGCAGAGGGCTGGTTTAGTATCGTACTTGACTACTAGAAAGCGTACCAGACTGAGTGCATGTTTATGGGGATTGTCTCTTAACTCATTGGGTCAATTCTGCTGGATTATTTATGATAATACGATTCCGGGACACGCAGTGCTCAGCAATGGCGTAATACGTAAATTTGGAAATTGCGTCAATTTAGGAAAAGGACGATAATCAATGGGGAAAATTATCTTTGTGCTTTAGCCTGTGTATGTTTTAGTGCCTCGATAATTTAATGATTCGAGGTAACGTTATCTCGAGGACTCTTTTTTTTTTTTTTTTTTTTTTTTTTTTTTTTT